GTGCTTCAGGCTTGCAGCCAATAGGGTGCCGCCACGATCAGAATTCTCGGTTGTAACGTCTCTCTACGTGCATGCCCTCTCCTCTCCGTGAAACACGGATCCTCGGGCTCCAAGGGACCTCGCGAGGTCCCTTGGAGCCGAGGACGATTTGGCTGGGAAATCCTCGGAGCCCAAGGATTTGTCCTCGGAGTGTTTTCACATTTCCGTTCCGAAAATCAGCTCCGAGGACAGGTGGAACGACGACGGAATCCTCCGAATCGCGTCCCCGAGGAGTGTCTAACGACGCCCTTAGTAGGAGCGGCTCTTGTGAACAGTGGAAAGGTGAGGCTTGGGACAAGATACAGTGCAGCGGCGATCTTTACCTCACACGTGGTCCGAAGTGGAGGCCGGCCAGGATCTTGAAACACAGAACTTACCATCATGATGCTGTTTTGCTGTGCCCTATACTTGCTTCCAACTTTCTCCCCAGGGGACCCTTCCCGATCACCGCCCTGACCGCTACTGCCGTCTGAAAGCTCTGAAAATACTGAAGAGAATCTCCACGTACCCCACTTTATTCAACAAGACGACGGACTCTTCTCTGGATCAGTACAGGAGCCGCCTCTTCACCAATCCCTTGCCTGAGGCCACCTTCCACGACCTAACCCGCCACACTAGAACTGGCCACATTCATCCACAGTGATCGAGAGTGTTCTCCAGCATAACGCCGCCTGCCTTCATGGGATCTTACTCTCTCTCCTCACCAGTGGCAAACAGAATCCACGACACATAATGTCAACCTCTTTGCCCCAAAAACATCCATGTTCATCCACCGTGCTCGAGAGTGTTCTCCAGCATAGCGCCACCTACATTCATGACCTTGTACTCTCTCTCCTCACGATGAAACCTCCAGTGGCAAGCAGAAGACAGTTAGTAGGTCACTAAGATTCTGCCTATTCCATCAGAAGGACGCTGTATTCAGCATTCTTCGGCTCAAACTATTCCAATTGTTCAAAAAGGTTCACCAGTAACACATACGCCCACCAACCCATGACCATCTTGCCTCCCTCTCCCTTAGGACAAGCTCCCATTCTCTTGCTCTACCCCTTCTCGAGTCAATGGCTAAGCAACACGCCTTCCCGTGCTATGCGCTCCGGGTCATGGCGCTTAAGCTCCGCGCTTGCATAGAAAACCCTAAACGACAACGCACGTGCGTCATGGGCGTAGAGCGCTCCGGCGCCGCAACCCCCTTCGTCTTTCTTTCTCCTCCTCCGGTTCTTTCGAAAAAAAAACTCACCCCAACCCTTTTTGAGGTCAAGGGTGTCAGATTTTTTTCTTTTTCTTTCAACTGGTGTTTTTATAACCCCATGTTCTTCTTTTTCTTTTCCTTTTGTTTAAATGTAGAGTGTCATTGGATTTTTCCTTCTTTTTTAAAAATTTATTTTAGACGACGGAAGCCCGTGTGCCTACTGGTCGCTCCAGGCCCGGCAGGGTTTGGCATACGGGGCGGGCCAGACTCGGACTTGATAGCTGAGAAAGGTCCTGGTGGGTTAATTGAAAAATGCATTTTGTGAAACCAAAAGGAAAATTGAGTGCATGACGAGATTCTAACGATCTCTTTCATGGTTTAGGTTTGTGCTCCACTGCCGATCCTTCGAGGAATTCCTCGAAGAATTGCGGGCTCCAATGACGCTTCTACTTTTTTTCTTTTTTCTTTTGGGGATTCTGCCTCTAAGTTCACTGAAGAATTCCGTACAATCTCTTAAAGTCGCAGTTCTCCTCTGTTCTCCGTGATCTCTTGCTCATTCTGGGATTCTTAACTTGAGACTGCGTGCGCTGCAATCCTTTTCCAAGAATTCCCTAAAAAACGGTTAAATGCATCAGGCCACGATTCTGGCCTCGGTGGAAATGGAGAACACTATTTGCTCCTGCTTGAGTGCTGTTCTCGTGAAAGTCCCCAAAAGGCAGGCAGATGGAGCCCCAGAAATTCTTACGGCACCAGTGCTGTTCTTTTTTTTTTTTTTTTTAATTTAAAGGTCTTCAAGGAATTCCTCGAAGACCCCTGCAGTGGAGCACAACCCTTAGAATCTGGTCACGCAGTTCTTCTTCTTCTTTTTTTTTTTTCCAAATACAGCCCAAGCTGGTGGCAGGGGCTACGTCCCACTACAGACGTTTTACCACGCGGACGTTTGGTTTCCGATCACGTGTGGCAAAAGGTGACACATAACGACCGCCCAACTTCGGGGATCTGAACGGCGGACAAGATTTGGAGGTGTCCCGACCAATATCTTTATGTCTCCCCCAATGAGAGCTTCGAACTTTTGATCCTTTCACCATTTTCTTTCATTCTTAGGCCGGTGACGAGGACGCAATATTATGGAGGTCGTGAGGTGGGGGTAATATTGCATCGATCCGGGCTTTTTCTTTACAAGGAAAATCGGGAGAAAGGGGCCGTGCTTCATTCCGAAAACGAATAAATGTTGCCTCTGACAGTTCAAGGGCCGCGGATAACGGCGCGTCCATGGCCGTCGGGCAGATAAATGTAGACCTATGTATTAGGCCTCACATGGAGGGTACGTGCATGGTGTGGTGTCTCTCTCGCCCCGAGAAACAGACCACATACATGTAGACGCTGTATTTTTTATTGACATTCACGCTTACCCTCTTTCCCAATGAGGAAAGTCCGCAAGACATGTGGAAAGGTTCGGGATCCGAGGCCGATACTTTGGCCTTTTCCATTACGAATGCCTTGCATACCGCCCTCCCAAACTCGGTTCTTTGACGGCCCGTTGCTCATACTCCACCGTTATGTTCTCGTGAACGTCCCGATGCCGTTTGGCGTTCTGCGTTCCTCGTCCGCCATCACCTCTCTGTCTGTCTTCCTCGCACGGTCATCTGGGTGTTCGGCCATTACACTCCACTGCTGAATCTCTCAGTGCTCATGGCCTCTTCCAATGATCCCGCGGGACTCTCCTGCATACAGGACTGGGGGTATACGGAGTCCCAGTACGGAACACAGGGACCAGACAATGGACCACTCGGGCCGCCTGCGGCTGGACAAGAAGGAATGCACACGCAGCTTCCCTATGCTTCTCGCGGGGACCGTGGGTCCTTGAACGGGACAGGGAGCGAAACCCAGTGGCCCTTGGAAGACAGTGTGGGTACACAAGTCCCGACTTCACGGCCTTTGGGGACACTGGGACAAGTGGGCACGCCTGTGGGGAGTGGGGTTCCATCATCGGACCCCACTTTGTCACAGGTTTCAGAACCTCGTGATGTCACAGGCAGGGTGACACATGTCTTACAAAGTGATTGTGGGCCACCCTTACCTGGCTTCAGCACACCGATTCAGCCCATTGGTGGTTTCTCTTTCGGGGTCGGTGGTGAAGATGAGGACATTTTGCGGGAGCGTCTAAGGAGGCGTGCCATTGCAATGGCGGAAGGGCAATCATCCACCACACATTGTGCACAACATTTGTCTTTCCACTCTGACGGAGCTCCGAGTGACGACTGTCGTGCTGCGTCTTCTGGTTTGTCACCCATCACCTCTGTGAACCACGTTTCCAGTGCTTCTCCGACGCAGAGGGGGGGGGCTGCCACCACGCCACCTCTGTCAGACGTGGGCGTCGGAGGACGTGGGTCATCGTCATCTCCGGTCCCTCATGGCAGTCCGCATACCCCTAGCGTAGCATCTCAGCATCATGTGCCATCAAAGTACTTGATCAACTGGCTAATTCGGGACATTGAGGATGGCGTTTCCCCCTCTCCAGTTGCTGCAGACACTGCAGCGGCCTTCCCAGTCCGTGGCAATGCAGCTGCCCCTTCACGAACACCTCCTCGTCAATCTGTTGATCCGACGCCTGTGAATCGCACACCCACCCGGGGCGGTGGCCGCGGTGAATGTAGCCAAAGCCCTTCGGGTGCAGTCCGTGAGGCGGGGACTTCTCCTGCTGCAGGTCCGCAGGGACAGCAAGGTCGGGCATTGGCACCTGAAAAGAATAAGGACCGCTGGGGGGAGGATGAGACTGCGTGGTTGTGCCGGTTCCGCAATGAGGTGAAGTTGCAGATGAATGAGGATACAGAGGCATACGGACGGGCAGGGTTGAAGGGAAACTTCTGGAAGAACGTGGAGCTGCGTATGAAGGAGAAGGGTTACAATCGCGATCACGAG